ATGGGACAGGTACGGGGCTGCACCCTCGGAGGCACCGGTCGACTTTGGGACTCTAGACATGAACTCATTCGCCTCTTTGGGGACGCTGGACGTGTCTGGGCTAGGGGTGGACCGCACCAATCCGGTCGGCTCTGTTGATATTTTTCAGGCTTTCCAGGGGCTAGCGAATTGCGAGGACTTTAACTGGCTTTCGGGGAACTCAATGTAAGACTAAGAACGAAAAGTGCGCATAGACCGAGCGAATGACTATGATGACCGATGCAGAGAAAAGATACAGAGAAAATAAAGCTCAAAGTTCAGCGCAATCATCCGCCTGCCCCTCGATGGTGTTGGGATACTTCATTGAACGCAAAAATGGTGGTATTAATTACGTGTCGAACTGATCATACATGCCCAATAACAAACATTCCCGCTGAAGCATTCACAACACTACCACAGACTCTTCCGATTTTGAGTCCTTGTCAGCATCACTGTGCAGCCTGAGCACGACCTTAATCTCTTTATCAACAGATAGTCTCAGAAGATCAGGTCTGCTGTAGTGACCCGTGCAGTCCGCAAACATCTTCGTCCTGTGAATCATGTCCATGTCCAAATCGGCGTACAGAATCGTCTCTGTGGTGTCATCGACAGGTTCCGTAAGCCTACGGCCATCAGGACCAAAGATGGCCGACGTGCCGCCTCCAGGGCTGTTCATGATGGCACCCTGGGCGCTGCCGTGTGCCGCAACGCCCTTCTCGGTAATCAGAGCAGTGCTGTGGAGCACGAATGCATTTGACTCAATCGCGTATGTGCGCGAGAGCGTTTGGCATCCTACTCGGGTTGTTAGTTAGTGCCAATAATTCGGAACCACTAGCTAATTAAGTGGCTAGTCATTGGTGGGATCGTCACAAACCTTCAGCGCTCATGGACCACATATCGGGGCCACCTCCATGCGGGGTAACACTCGGCCACGCTGCGACGTGGATCTCCTCCTTTTGGGCGATAGTGTTGTACTTGAGCAGCGGCTGGATGTGCTCCCAGCAGGCCAGAGAACCGACACGCGCGAAAGGGAGCTCGCCGACGCTCTTCAGGCAGTGGCCAGACGCATCGCCAAATATGGTGCGCTCCATGTGCGTGGGCTTCATCTTGCGGCGGTGGACCTTGATCTCGCCGTCCTGGCCGATGAGGGCCTGTGCGATGAAGAGGGAATTGTTGTCGTTCTCAGAGAAACCGAGAGACACGGCAATGTTGTTCGCCTTTGCACACGCCTGGATGGTGCCCATTTCCGGCGAGTCGACAGCGAGAGAGTTCTTGATGTACTTGACGTTGAGGTCGAAGTCGATGAGACGCGACCAAATCCAGCAGGGGTAGCCGGGAATCCAGCACTCCGGGAAGGCGATGAGCTGGGCGCCGTTGGAGGCGGCTTCAGTGATTAGCTTGCATGTCTTCTCGACGGCAGCGGGGAGGTCGACCCAAGCGGGCTCGGCCTGGGTGCAGGCGACCTTGACAGTGCGGACAGTCATGTTGATTCGGGACTTGAGAAGTGAAGGAGGGAATGTTTGAGGAATTCAGCTGAAAATCTGGGGTATTTTGAATTTGACCAAGCATGGAACTCTCTTTGGTTCCACGACCTTGGAACGGATGACGGGCATGTTTTATATCAACATGGACGAATCCTTGGCTGACTACATGCAGTAGCTAATAGCATGGATCTAATCCCGAGTAGGCTGACCAGAGATAGCTGTCCGTAATTACTGGCCCATGTTCTGTTGGCTCTGCCTCAGAGATAATGGAGGATGGCGGACAAGCGGCCTCAGCTCTCTGCCGGTTCCCTGCCCGATGGACACCTGACTGCATTAACCCGATGGTTCACGGGTGTTATCTGCAACTAACTAACGGTCTCCACCGAGTTATCGCGGGGAACGGTGACCCCGCGTCAAGCAACCGGATGCGGGCCGCAGACGTCCGCATCGATATTACGTCGTGCGGCCCCGCAACTCGGGCGGAGTCTTAACCGCCGCAAATTGAGATGGCAGATAGCAGGGGTCAATCCTACGGCTTATCAGGCCTCCCAGCTGAAGGCGAGGCGGTTGTACGAGGGCGAAACAGTCAAACCTAGAGTCTTATCATGGTTTCGCATCCTTCCATGGACACGGGGGAAATGTCGGTCTTATCAACTTCTTCGAGGGCCCAGCAGCCAAGACCAACAGGATTTTTTTGTCATTTATCTAACTCCACAGGACCCTTAACAATCGAATCCTTTGCTGAAGAATCAGTCCACCACTCGGCTCAATAAGCGCCTCCTTCCCAGGGTCGGTCGAAACGAGTCCCCTGAGACCCTTCAGATTCCAGCTCGAGCCAATCGAGGTATCCCACCCACTTCTTTTCGGTAATCTCACGCAAGTCGAACCCCTCCTGGCCAGCATCGACAGAGTAGCCATTGACGCTTAGGTAACTTCCAAACTTTTTGCCCTCCTTCCAACTGTCTTTCGAAGGTCTCCAAACCTTTGTCAGCTTCTTGCCGTCGACGTTATTACCCTGGGTTTCACCGTCGGACTTGACGCCGAGAGCCTCCAAATCGACCTCTGTAACCTCGCCTTGTCCCATGAGAATGAAGCATCGCATCCCGCACGTCTTGCAGAAGAGAAAGTGCAAGTCTTTCTGGTAGACTGTGTAGTCACCAAGATCCTTGTATGGGTCCAAAGGATGCAGCAGGATGAAATCCTCTGGGGCCGAGTTGAGGCGCATATGGAAGAAGCCTGCCTTCTGACAAGTGGTGCAGTTGCATCGGTAGAATTCCTGATGGGCTCGTGGCCCTTTTTCTTTGGTTGGGCGAGGTGGAGGCAGAGTATGAGGGAAGGTAAGGAATACGATGTACCGGGTCTCCCCGCAGTGGCATGAACCCTTGAAAGGACGTCGTGTGGATTCAAGTTCAGTCATGGTGGATCGAGTAAATGTTGAGCTTGATGCCGAGTCCTTTTGGGATCTTTCTTTTCTGTTGATGCCAAGTAAGAGAGGGCCTTTAAGCACCATTAAAGTCAATAAACGTGTCAGATGCGGGGAAGCTTTACGCGCCCTTGTGTGACATCCAAGCGTGCGTTTAGCCCAATCAACGCTGGTGTTAAGAGACCCTGCAAGTATCGGTGGCACAGGTTGCGTTATCAACTCCACAGCAGATGCAGCTCCTGTCGGCTTCACGATCTCAACAACATCTAGGCCTTTTTTGGTAATATGATGTGCAATATTGACGGTCCTGTCTGAAAACACGACCTGGATTCCTGAGCAGCGATTAGGGCACGGTCAACGGTGGAAAATAAGGTCAAGCCCTCATTGAATCGCTCTGAAGTCTGTATTAAGGACTATCTGTCTACTGGTTGGCTTTCAATGAAGCCACCAAGAGGTATCCACCCAAAGCACATCTCATCACCAACCCGCTACGTATCGCGAATCAAACCATTGTTTAGCTTTCAGCTATGTATTTGAAGCTTGTCACTGAGGCTAGAGCCACAGAGTTTCGATCCCTTTACCACGGCAACGGCCCTTGCCTATTCGAAAACGTTCCCGTGACGCCATCAGGTCCTAATGTCGCAAGTTCAACAGCCCGAATAGACCCAAGTGACGCCTCGTCTGGGCCGGAGTAATCGGTCATGCTAGTAGCACAGTAGCCGGGGCAGCATGTATTGAACTTCCATGAGTCGTCGCCGTGGTGTCGAGAGGCAAATGTCAAGGTCGCGTGGTTCAAAGCTGCCTTGCTGGCCCCATACTCAAGGTAGTCGCGCTTGGGTCCCAGGCTTGGATCCGATCGAACCGCGAGGCTTCCGAGCCCCGAGCTGATGAACACGACACGTCGAGTCTTTGAAGACTTCTCCAAGAGCGGTGTGAAAGCGTCTGTAACCTCGACTGCTCCAAAGAGATTTGTGTCAAAGACCTCTCGAAGTCGTTGCCGGAGGTTGCCTTCGGCCTTGCCGCGATTAATTCCAGCGTTATTGACGATAACGTCGATGTACCCGAATTTGTTCTGCACTTGCTCTACAGCAGCTGTTATGCTCTCGTCCGAAGTGACATCGAGGACCAATGGCTCAACATCCAAGCCGGCCGATTGAAGCTCTGAGGCAGACTTCTCGATGGCGTCTTTTCGTCGGCCGGTCATGTAGACGTGATAGTCTGGATTTTCCGAGGCCAATCGCTTGGCGATCTCATAGCCGATGCCTTGATTTGCCCCTGTGACGAGCGCGATGGTCTTGTTTATGGTCCCGTTAGACATTTCGGCAAATAGTATTGACACCAATTTGTGTAAGTGCAGGACGGAGTGTGTCGGTGTGATTAGTAGAGCACAAACGAACGACGCGTCCAGTTCTTATGCTAAGCAGCTGGTGCACTGCAAGCTTTGGTCTGGAAACATCAGATGAGTCCCTTTCGTAGCTCTAACGCGTCGCGAGGTATCCGATTCGGCACGGTATCTCAGTCCGAGGCGACAAGCTCCAGATCATATCCGTATTCGCGGCCATGCTAGGCTATTATTAAAGCTTGCATGGAGAATGTCGAAGCTTCAATGAGCTTGCATCCTTGTCGCAGCAACGTAGATGCGGCTTTTCGTCTCATGTTTGCTCGGCCCGTGTACGGACACCGGAGGTGCGGAAAACATTGATCGCCCGTTGAAACTATGTCCACGTGCTCCAGTGTTTCGGTCTCGCAATGGACCTAAGAGCGAGCGGATGGTCGATATCTCCTGTCGCTGCTGTAAAAAGCCACGTTTATTAACATGGCTTCACCAAACCGCAGTTTACATTGATGATTATTCATGCCCTATGAAGGTGTGGTACACTCGAATGCTGAATTCAAAACGACACTGGGAGGTCCTGCAGAGAACACGCATTAAGAAATCAATACAAATAAGGTGCACAGGGCTTCGGAACCTCATCAGCGCAGACTTATCGGCAATTGAGCGCCAACCAATGGCGCTTGCAAAAATGAACATTGACAATGCATCAGAGATGAAACTCAAATTTGCAAAAGGAATGGGCCCTAACCAGGGATCGAACCTGGGACCTCTCCCAGAAGTGAATTGTCGAAGACAACCCTAAGGGAGAATCATACCGCTAGACCATCAGGGCTGATTAAGCGAAGAATCGCTGATTGTTGGATGTGGGCCGAGTAGCACAGGATCATCAAGCTAACCCGCATTGCACCCGGAGTGTTTTCGCAAAGTGGGAGCACGAGCTGGGCTCCTTGGGGGAAATTGAATGTTGCGCATAGTCGTTCTGTAAGCAATATGGAAATTGGATTCGAGATCAACGGAGTGGGACTTAGTGTTAATTACATGCAGATACTCAGTTCTATATACAAATGAGGTGCTAATGTGCCGGGTCGCGATGAACCATCAGCTCCAGTCTATTTGATATAATCCTTGCCCAGTGCCCACTTCGACTTGTCATAACTCTTGGGCCAAACACCACTCTTGCCTGGTGCCAGGATACCGTTGGGGTCCAACGCGTCCTTGATGGTCTGGTTCAGTTTGCCCAGCGCATGATCGTTGAAGTCGTAGGTGTCCGCAATCTGATCCATCAGGGCAACGTGAGTTCGGAACTCGCCCCAGCCGTTGTCCGCACAGTCCTGGATCATGGTACGGACGAGCCACTGCGCACGGCGACGTGCGTCGGGATCCTCCCGGTTGTAGACGATGCATACAATGTTGTCTGTGCGGCCACGTGTGAGCAGTCATCATCTCAACGCCGGCGCTAGCCGGGGAACCCGTTGAAGAAACTTACGCATCTCTCGCATTCCGATGCTGAGAATACCGAAGTAGTCCATCTTGGCCTCGGCGAAGCGCTTCTTGGCCATCTCGTATTGCTTCTGCGCCGACTTGCCATCGACCTTGGAGATTGGGGAAAAGGATAAGAAGGTGCAGTTGGGGATCCAGCTAGGTTCACTGTCAGAGACGCACCTTTCCACGGGCTATGGCTTCGACTTACTGGTTCAGCCACCTCAACTCATCCCACGTTGGGATACCCTGCATGGTGTCTGAACGACAGTGAAGAGTGCTGAACTCTTCCTTGCGGTCCTCAAGCAAGAACCATCGACTGCCCGGCACCTTGGTCATCTCCCTCTTTGTGATCTCAAGATGTGCCTTGCGGATGGGCTCGGGTCCGTAAGCAGCGCCGATGTAGACCCACCGTCCCAAGTTGACCTTCTTAGCTGCCGCATCAAGCTGCTCCTCAGTGAGGGGAACGTCAAGTCCTGCGTCCGTGTACTCTGTGCGTGGATGGTAGTGGGCAGCATCGAGCGCAATGTGACGCAGACTGGCAGCATTCTGAAGGACCATGTTCTAGAAACACTTGTTAGCTAGCCCCACTGAACAGGACGAACGATCTGACTACTTACCACACGTAGGGGGCGGATGATGTCGACAACAGCCGCAAGATCCTCATCCTTCTCATAGGTGACCATGAATGGAGTGAAGCCTGGTGCTGCAGGCATGAGCCACATGCCCATCTTGGTGATAATTCCATTGTTGCTCTGAGAAAAGATGCCGTCATTAATGGGGCCAAATCCGTAGGGGAATAGCTGCCAGCACTCGTTCTGGTGCTGGTCTTGGGGAGGAACGCCCTTTGCAGCTTGAGCACGGCCCTCTGGGCTCTGCATGGCGCCCATACCAGTACGAACAACTTCGCCGTTGGCAAGAACAATCTCCATGCCGCAATGCATCATCCAATGGTCTCCGTAAGGTGTGAAGCCCACTCCATGATCTAGCGCGTTGCCGATCATAGATCCGTAGCCGAGCTCGGGAGAATCCAGCCAGACCTTATCGGCGAGTCCGTTATCGTTGAGATACTTCTGCATTTGAAGGTATGTCACGCCAGGCTCGACGAGGCAGTAGCAATCCTCGGCATTAACCTCGAGGATACGGTTCAAGTGTGTTCCAAGATTCATGACCAAACTGCCAGACACTCTTGGGGCGGCACCACCGTAGCCAACATTGTGGCCTCTGCTGAAGGTCCATACGGGCACGAGAAAGTCGTTGCAGAGCTTGACGATAGCTTGAATATCGGTGACACTCTTGGGGTGGATGAGAGCGCTGCCAACGAATTCCTCTCGCTCATAGAGGTGGTGCATGTCGTGAGTCAAACAGTCGACAGTGAGGTAATCGCCATCGTCCAGCACTGTTTCATTGCTGATGATCTGGAGATTCTCCTTTCCAACAGTCTGCAGCAGTTGGGAAGCGAACTCTTGAAACTTCTCGACGGAGACACCAGGTGGGAGGAATCTGGGGACTGGAACGGCCCCGCTGGAGCCATTCGTGTCCTTGACTGTGCTGGTTAGACCAGGCGCCATGTTGTGGTATCAGTGGTGGTATGATGGAAAGATTCTTGAGACAAGTCTGAGAGATCTAAGAAGGAGTAGAAGCTCTTTGAAGTGAGTCAAGGGTGATTTTGGTGGATGATTGATACGCGCTATGAGTAGAAGGGATGTAGCTCTTTTATTACTCGAAAGAACCAAAATGGGTCTCTCAGGAGCTCCAAAGCTATGGAGCTCAGGATGAGCTCATGACGGAGACCGCACGATTGCGGACGTTCGGGCTCCCGAAGCTGCCGCCGGCGATGTTCCAGAAACAGATGTGAACAGTTCATCGAACATGACTTGATTGAAGTTACATGATCCACGTGAAGGAGGTCCGATCCCTGAGGATCCAGTTCGACCCAAATTACTGAATTCGGGGAACGATATACGTATCGAACTCTGCCGAGTCCGTTGGGAATATCCGAACCTGAATCCCTACGGCCTTAAGGGTGTGATCTCGACACCACCGCCAGTTGCCGGTGGTGCATACCCGAAGCCTTATGGAACACTTTAAGGAGTTCAAGCTTTTCGAAAATGTTTGTTGTTCTTGTTCCATCTGATGTCAAAGCCGCTCGAGAGTTGCATATTCCTTCCGTCTTTGGAGGCTGAGGGAGCCCGGCTGCGGTGGGATTCGTAGAAATGACTTGGGTACACCGTCATCCGGTGGGTGTAATTGGCCGTGACGGACGGGCTTACACGAATATTCGTACCCGTATATGTTTCGATTACGAAGTAAATGCCACTCCATCATGAAATAGTGTTTCGCCTGATCTAAGCACGTCACCATAGCAGGGCATCCCATGTCTGTTCCAGATGTCCAGCTACGTGATTCAGCCTCTAGCGGCACGCTTAACTGGACTTGACAGCAAGAAAGGGCTGAGTTTCCTTGATCAAACAGCCAAATTCTGCCCTTTCAGTCGGTCGAACGTAGGCATACCCATGCAACCGGAAGGGCAGTGCCCAGGATGTTGCCATGTCGTAGTGACGTTTTCGCAATCTGGCACCGGACATGGCCAGAGTCTGGCTCCTGAGTCCTGCGATTTCTCATCATGCGAGGAACGCGAGTGTATCTCGCGGCCAATGTTGCCGAAGTCGCGATAGTCGCCGTACGAATTTCCTGTCTGTCAACGCCTGAAAGCCGACAGACATGGAATGTGACGTCCGCAGGATATCTCCGTGTCATTGAAGAGCGACTCTCTCGAAATGGAATGTTGATCGCCTAGGTTATAAAGACAACCTCGTGCTGCACATCATTTCATCCGAGAGCAACTGAACCCTACCCACCGCCCACCTAAATATTTTGACTCTCGCATATTAACTTCTGTTGATCTTTTGACAATGGCACCAACTGCAATCCTCAACACCACTAGCGATAGCCTTCAGTCACCGCTGAAAGCTCGTCCCTCAGCTGTCACCGAAGGCACTATTCCTATTGACCCTCCCCTAAACCCTAAGCACAGGTGGTGGTGGGATAGATGCGCGCCGCTGTTGAACACTCTGCTCACGAACGCTGAGGGGTACACACCTGAGGAGAAGGTGGACCACCTGCGCGTCTTCCGTGACGTGGTGGTGCCCTCCTTTGGCCTCCCGACACCCAAAGCCAAGGTTCGACCTCTGCTCACTTACGACGGTTCTACGTTCGAACCATCGTGGAACTTCACGAAAGGCGATGACGGAGTGATCCGCTACACGTTCGAGCCTCTTGGCGATTCCGCCGGTTCGGATGAGGATCCTTTTGCTGGGGAGATTGGCGCTGCCATGATCCCGATACTCTCGCAGGTGTCATCTGGAGTCGACATGCGCTGGTACGAGCAGATTTTGAGAAGATGGTTCGTCACACCTGAAGAGGCCGCTGTTGCTCGGTCGAGGATGCCGGCTTTTGTCAAGCGCGTCCCACAACTTTTCCTCGCCTACGATATGAAGCGCTCGCAGCGATTCCTGAAGGCCTACTTCTTCCCCGTCCTCAAGCACTTCGCCCTCAACGTCACAACAGAAAAGCTGGTCTTTGATATGATTCGCGACCTGCAGCCCTGCGGCGACAAGCTTTACAAGGCATCCGAGAAGCTCCAGAAGTACCTTGCCACATGCAAAGAGCCTTGCCCGGTCGAGATGATGGCGATTGACTGCGTCGATCCCCACAAAGCCCGAGTCAAAGTATATGCCCGCACAACGTCGAACTCAAAAGCGGTACTTGCAGACGTTCTCACTCTTGGCGGAACCCAGACCGACGACGCAACAATGAAGGGCGTTGAATACGCCGAGAAAGTCTGGCATCTGCTTCTCGATGAGCCTGAAGGCATGGCCGCGACCCAGAGAAAGGATGCCAGAGACATGCACAACTTGCACAAGGGCATCTGCTTCGCGTTCGAGCTGAAGCAAAATGAAGAGCGGATTGACATCAAGGCTCATTTGCCATGGGGTCAGACGTCACGGAGCGATGCACAGACGATTGAGAACTTCACGCAGGCCCTGCAAAATGTGGGATGGGACGAGTCTGCAGAGAAGTTTTCCAGAGGCGCCCACGAAACTGCCAAGCTGTGAGTAGAAACCTTCAACTCAATGTTGTATACAGTGACTAATTGAAGCTCATAGGCCCGGCCGAGATTACTCCAAGCCCGGAGGATTGTCATACGTATCGTACAACTACGGCACCAAGGGTCTCTACATGTCCTCGTATTTCTCTCCAAAGGTTCAAGATAACTGAAAATGCGACCAACGACACCTTTGCGATGGCAAGATTTCATTGGAAGAATGGGGTGTTCTGCAAGATGGGGTT